CGGCCAGCACCCTCCCCCTCACCACAACCCTCTCCACGTTCGTCGCCAAAGCCCCTCTCCGCGCCGCCAAAGCCCTCCCCCGGCCCCGCTGGTGGATCCAGCGCAAGCGAGCCGCCTGGCTGGCAAAGAAGAAGTCCGCCGCCGCCAAAGAGAAAGGGTGTGGGAGAAGGGAGACAAGATTGTGAAGGAAGGAGGGGGGGATGGGATGGAGGGAGAAGGAGAAGAAGAAGGAGAAGGAGCGGAACAAGCAGCAGCAGCAGCAACAGCAGCAGCAGCAGCAGCGACAACAGCAAGAACGGCGGCCGCAACTGTGCTGATTTTCGTGAGGTTGATCGTGGTGGCCATTTTTGGCGTTTTGCTATGGGCTGTGGTTTATGTTTGAGCACCAGCGTGCCTGTCCTCCCTCCTCGCCGGTGTGACAGGGGGGTTTTTTTTTTTGTGTGTGTGTGTTTGAATGAATGGATGCTTCTGCAACAGCGACTACAAGGGAATAAGGATTAGCGATGCAGTTACCATCAGAATGACTTTCAAGATTGACCAGAATGAAGAACCGAGTACCGAACATGTTCATGTTCTTGACAGTGCGTTACACGTCCAAATGTCTCTCTTATGCCTTTGAACTCAACGTCTATGCATGTCCTGGATGTAAGAACGCCTCATGGGCTCTTTCCAAGGCATGTCCCATGTTTGGTGGTCCCTCCAGCAGCTTTACGACTGCCTTCATCAGCGGACGTCAAGCGTCATGTTCAGTTTTCATTTTACCTCTATACGACCACTCCGACTGATCACAACATCGGCGCCTCCCTGGGTCTCTCTTCAAGGTGGTCCGGGAAGAGAACCCGTGACAGCATGGCGGCATTGGCGTGACAGCATGGCGGCATTGGCATGGCACCTTCAGGGTCCGAGTCTAGCTTGCATTTCACCGACGGACCTGACTCGTTGGACGTATGAGATGCTGCCGCGCAAACTCGCTTTCTGGCTTCTTGTTGGCTCCAATATGAACGTGCAGTGCAGCTATGTGTGTCTGCAATTTTTTTTATAGCTTCACTCTCTTCCCGCTGTGCGGCCGCCCTCCAACTGGGAAGTGTCGGTGAAGAGACATAACCGAGGAAGGATTGCTGCAACGGCGGCCGGACGCCGAAGCCGGTGAGGACCGCGAGGTGGTGAGCAATGCATATGTTGCCATATAAAGTTTTTGCATGTTCCCGTCTGAGAGCGGGAAGGATTCGAGAAGAAGGGCCATGTCGTCAAGGTGCAGTGCCATTGATCCTCGTTTCTGGCTTAGTCTTTCTGCCCTGGTAAAGTGTTAAACGTCTGGTCTTGGCAAAGTAGGAAATTCTGATTAGGTATGCATTTGCAGATGGTTCTTTTTTGCTCTGGGACGACTACCCGTTGAGAAAACCTCAACCTCCAATCGGGAGCAGGAGCCAACCAGGGCCTGCAATCAAAGACCGGGACCCGGATGGTGAACTGTGAGCTATTGGCTAAACAAAACCCAAGCAACCATCAGCGACAGCCCTCTTCTCTCAACATTGGACATCAACGCAGCAAACAATGCCTACCAAGGCGCCATTAGTAGGGCAGCAGAGCATATCGACGTACATCATCGACAGACCGCTCAACAACAATTGTGGTGTGTGAGTCACGTTGTTGATAGGGCGGATCATGATGGACGATGATGAGAGTCGTCAATTGACCGATCATCGCAGGATCATCATCTTTGATCATTTCCTTTCGAACTTGGGAATTGGAATGAAGCACACCTCCTCGTAATCAAACCTCGAGAAAAACTTTTTTTTCTTGTAACTTTCGTGATAGAAGAAAGCCAAGTGGAAGTCGCTGGGGTGTGTGCCATGTTGGACCAGGATGGATGGGAAAAGCCACCGGAAAATCACCATGCGTAATTGATGTTCAAGCAGCAAGGCGACAAGGGGGAGGGGGGTGCAGGTTGCCAAGAGCCAACCGGGGACAAGGTGAGCATCAGCGAGGTGTGCAGCAAAATAGCAAATTCCCATGTGTGACAGGCCGCAGCTAGGTATGTTCACGAGAAAATGGCCCTCACCTGTGGCCGCACTCTTCTTGTTGACGTTGAACAGACCTCACCGTAGTAATGCACTGTATGGTGTACAGGCCTGTCGATAAGGCCTTGGTGGAATCATGCCGTGCCCTGGAAGGAAATGGGGGTGGTTGATGGACTGGAGGTGGGAAGACATCAATCATGGTGCCCGCTTTGAGAAATCATGTTTGTTCGGTGAGTGTCTTGCGAACTGTTCTCCGGGGCCCTTGTTCAATACCTATGGACGTTGGGTGTAATAACCGACCCATGGGTTCGAGGCGAATGATGCTGCTGAGTTGGGCGTATTCAGATGTGAAAGTCTGGTGTCGAATCTTAACGGTCAGCGTGAATGCGACAACGAGATAAGGGGCTCGTAAAGCCCCATGGAAGTCTTGGGCTTCACGGCTCGACGTTCAGGGGACAAGCTCTGTTATATCCGTGAGGTGGCTCCAGGCCGGTTGTTGGTTACGCAGAGCCATCAACAGCCATCCACTGGCCTATGGTTGCGCTAAACGAAGGTCGAAAAGTCCGGGTCGAGGGCCAACCACATCCGGTCGACGGTGAGGCTCATGTTGTATTTTTCAGCTGTGTTAGTGCCGGGCTTCAGGCCCCTGGGTCCTTCAGCTGATAATGGAGTACAGTAACGGGGAACACTTCCCATTCGTCAGTCCTCGGCGATATGGCAGAACTCCATCACAGCTTAGGCAATCAGGGGAGATCACCACTGCTGTAACAGTCGCAAGGGTTACTTCCCCGTCGTTATTCGCCACAACTGGGAGGGCTCCTGGCTTGAAGCTCCGAGGTTATCTCACTCTCAATCCCATGGAATGAGATGAGCAGACAAGAGAGGACACGGTAACACCATTGAGATAGGGAAGGGATATGGGGCCGAGGTTTCAGCCAACCGAGACAGCTTCTGGATTCAGGAGGGACGCTGGACTAGCGGGCGACTGGGTCCAGCAAGCCGTTGAAGGTTGATCAAGCTATCGGTCAATCTCAGCACTAGACATCGCGTACGACATGGAACAAGCGGGTATAGCTTCAATATTTGTTCCATGCATGGACCACAAAAGGTTAGCAGGAAATGAGACTGCTGAGCGGTGGGGGCCCTGGGATACACATGCATGTGTTTTTCTTGGGGACATGCAGGTCAGTCACGTGCAGACGAACAGTCGCAAGCAGGCACAAGGAACAAACTGGGGATGGGAGTCTGGGGGAGGCGAGCTTTCGACTTCAGGACTGGGCTGCATTGCAATGGAAGGAAAGGCTGACCTCGAATCTGGCATTTTCGGTGGATGAACTTGGAGGTGGGTTGGACGTGTCGATAGCCTTGGCAAATCCGGGCGTTGTGCTGTACGGAAGGCTGATGTGCACATGATGGCTTCTTTTGGTCGAGGGTGATTGCCGTGATGGTTGCAACCACTGCACCTTGAAAGAGAGTTGCCCGTGCCCATCCGACCGGTCTCACGTCACCTGCTGAAAAGCCTGGTTGATTTCTCGTCAACTCTGTGGAATACCTACCTACCAATGTCGAGGTAGGCGCAGTGAGGGATCAACGGCGAGATCAGGGAATGCTCCTGAAATCCCGCTGCTCATCAGTCCATGTCTGTGACGGGGAACTCCTGCCGTTCCTGGATGATGGACGTGTAGTGTAGAACGTGGAGGGGGCGACTCCTAGAAGCGGAGAGATGTCAGCAGCCTCCCACTGCTCCTTCTGATTACATATCTCAAAGAAAGCCCCCGTTCCTGCTAGATCCATCCTTAATCCATTAGGTTTTCCCAACCAGATTTCCACTTTGCTGTTCTGTTGATCTGGCTTGGGTGTTTCCGGTCGAATTGTGGTCGAGAACTTGGACTCGCAGACCTGTCTTGGCCACAGTGCACTACCAACCAAATCCATCATTACCAATCGCGAAACCGTACTTGAGGCATTCATTCAACAACTTGGGCGACTCAGTGCTCATCATTCCGCATGTCTGGGCGCCCTCCCTCCCTTCGACATCTTTGATTGCCTACTTTCTATCCGAACCGGAGTGCAACGTCAAACAGCTCCGTGAACGACGAAGGCGAAAATTTTCACGGACGTGAATACTGGAAGCGACCAGTTGCTTCCTGCGGTGACGTTGAGCGTCATCGCTCAGACCGAGTTTCAATTTCGCTTACACCTCGTCGACCGGCACGGATTGGACGGGATCGGGGGCTGGGGACTGTCCATCATCAGGAATCCGGGGGGCGCTTCAAGGGCATTCTAGCGTTTGTTGTGCAAATTTCAGGGGCCCCTGGGAAAGTCGAAACCCGGTAGATTGGACGGCGATTGTTGAGTGATTCACGCGACAGCTCCACGAGCTCCAACAAGCCCCCATCGACGTTTCGAAGTGCTTCTTTTTTGCACGCTGGATTTGGCCTGCTGTCGATCAGAAGCGCACAAAGAACGTGTCCGCGTTATCACCGCCCATACACTCGGTCTATTTTGGAGGCAGCTGAAGGAGGCAACGACATCGTTGAGTCAGAGGCTATCATCATCGCCAGACCAGTCCTATCGGCGGCTCTCTTCTCCAGGCATTTGACAGTCCCGGGCAGTGAGCGCTGGGAACGCATTTGTGACTGGCTGGGAAATCCAGTGCAATCCAGTCACAGTGTGACAGAACGTAGTCGGGGGTGTGGTTCCTTCTGGCCAAAGTGCTGACAGGCATCTTCCCACCACCACGAGAAAGTGACTAAGTCTAAGCAGGCTACTGCAACTTCGTGGCTTGCTACGTACCTCTTCTACGGACACGCCCCCTCCACTCCAAACGGGGGCAGAGCTGCAGAGAGCGACAGGCTTCGAAAAATTGACTTGGTTCACATCCCTGGTCCATGGGTCTTGGCAAAATTTCCTTGCCAAGTCGTCCCGCCTTCTCCGCGCAAAGTGGGAGGAGTCCAAGTCAACCAGTCTTCTCACCTTGGTTGTTGGCTCCGGTTATAAAGTTCGCCAACCACCCGTTTCACACCATTTTTCAGTGACATATCTGGCCCCCTTCCGCCAATTCACACACCTGCCCGTCTTAACGGCTTTCCAACCGCGGATTTCCACGACATCCTCCCCGATTGTCATCCAATCTGGAGCGCAGCGGGATTCACTCTTATACACAAGCTTGCAGTCAAGGTCGATCTAGACTTTGTTGCATCATCCCAGGAATCCTGCACGGGCGGTCATCGACACACACATCACCACACTCTTGACATGTTCGAAAGCAGAAGACGCTTCTCCTTCCTTCGTCTCACTACCGACCGCATACCCAGGTGACGGGTGTCATTTCTTCCGCGTCACGACATCAGGCGCGATTTTTGCTTCGATCCAGGATTGTCAAGGGAAACACAACCAGCAATAAAGAGCAAGGGACTCAGTTGAAAAGAAACAGATATTGGAAAGGGAAGAGGAACTAGCAACTTGTGGTTGTTGAGGTTCAGGAAAAGATTTGGAAAGGGAACGACATCACCGACAACATGGCTACTTATTCACCATACGAGTCTACCCGGTACCGGGAAGCCTACCCCCCTTATGACGAGGACAGGTTTGCCAGTGCCTCGACAACGCCTTCGCCCCGGCAACCGGCATACCATTTCACCGAGCTTCCTCCCCGACCCCAACGACCGGCCACACGGGCTCACTTCCGGTCCGGCAGTGTCAGCGGCTACACCAACACTTACAGCAGTCCTCGTGGCTCCTTCTCTCCCCGCTACACCAGCGACGGCCACTATGCCACTGCCAATGTGAGTCACTCGCGGTCATCGCGCAAGCAAAGCTTTTCGGTCCCTCGCTCCAACTCCAAGCGTGAGCGGCGGAGTTCTTATTCCTATTATCGGGCCTCGGACTCCCATGGAGAATCCGACGAGGACGAGCTGGATCGGTTGAACCGGCTCGACGGTGTCACCTACATGGTGCCTGCGCCATCGAAAACCAAGCGATACAACACCCGGGATTACTTTACTGTCAATGCTGGTGGACAAGGAACTGATTACGAATACTATGCACAGGCCGGCCCGCACCGTGATTACCAGAACTATGACAGAGAGTCCGCCTTCCCTTCCCCCAGGTACGACTCGGACCGGACGGACCGCAGGCCCCTTGCAGGACAACGTCGCAGTTCTACATCACACGCAGTTCCCCAGCGCCCTCAGACAGCGAGGCCAGCCAGCTCCTCTCACAAGAAGCCTCCACCGCCGACACGTGTGGCGACCGAGGAAGATGCCAAGACGTGGAAGATTCCTCCCGGGTATTCGTTGAAGAACTGGGACCCTACGGAGGAGCCCATCATGCTGCTTGGGAGTGTCTTCGATGCCAACTCCCTGGGCAAGTGGATTTATGACTGGACTGTCTACCACCACGGCCCTGCTACCCCTATCTCTGAAATGGCTGGAGAGCTGTGGCTGCTCCTGATCCAGTTGGCCGGAAAAATCAAGCGCGCCGATCACTGTCAGGACAAGGTCCGTACCAAGGAGAACAGGGAGATCCTCCAGGAGTTCATGGAGGCCGGTGACCGCCTCACCGACAAGCTTCGCAAGCTTCTCAAGGCATGTGAGGCTCCCATGCTTCGCTCTAGCGCCAAGCAACGGAGCTCTTCTCTCGGCAAGGGCGCTGGCGTTGAGTTTGTTGACACCCTCTTTGGACGTGAGCGGGAGCTGGAGAAGACGGAGCGTTTCATGTCCCAGGTCCGCCTGTGGAACCTTCGCTTTGACGCCAACTGCGAGGATATCCTTCGCAACCCGACCGCTTAATCCTCTCTCATATTCACCCCTCAACAATTGGAAGATATACCCTCCGACAAGATTGGTTGTACGATAATGGGGAGGAGTCCAGCAACGACAACAGCAACGGGGCGGTCATCAGACACGACACCCATTTCCTATCAATGATACCCAAGACTGCCATTTTAACGGCGCAGCATGGTGCACAACTACGACCCGCCCAAGGTCAGCTTGACGCAAACGCAAGCAATGGACGGGGGAATGGTTTTATAGCAGTCGGCGAGAAACTGCATCACACGAAACTTAGGCTGTACAAGGAACTCAAAAGTTTTTGGATGGGTCTTTATGCGGAGGACGATCTTTTTTTACCCAATATCCCCCTATGTAATTACTGTGTTTTGTTATTTTTTTTTGTTTTTTGTTTTTGTTTTCTTTCATTTCACTTCAGTTCGCTCGGGGTTTGGATATCAGAAAATTTGGGTTGGCGACTTTGCTTTTATCTTTCTGTTATACATACCACCGGGCTGTGGTGATGATGCGGGTCTCGATCGCTTTTTGCTTTTACAGGTTGTTCAATGACGAAGCTCACACAATTTCAAGAGCCGTCAATGTTTTCTTGTTTTTTTTTTTCCTTTTCTTTTCTTTTTCTCTTGGACACTCAAGCTCCAATGGGGATCACAGGATGGATATACCCAACATTTCCTTTTACAAATTTTCTCTTTTCTTTTCAAAGTCAGGATGGATGGAACAAATAGATTGCTGGTATGGATGGATGGATGGATGGATGGATAGAGACGGATTTTAAGTGAAACTGGAGGAATCAACCCTCCTACCTCAACTATGTAGCTAGCTTGTATTAATTCACCACACACCACACACACCTCAACATTATTGTTGTCAAACTCATCACGCCCCCCAAAAATGTTCTTCGTTGCCTTTTTGTGTTTTTGTGAACCAATGTGAAAATGCCCTGTGCAGTGATACCTCCACCCTCCAAATCCAACCGGAGATTGGCGTCACGTCTCATCACAACACAGCGCAGGAATCCCGTTTGTGCTGCCGTTTGGTTTGGTTTGATTTGGTCACAGACGGGACGGGAAAGTGTGGGTGGAATGACAGAAGCAATTCAGGGGCGTCAGAGTTAGACATTCCTTCCCATTTTGTTTCTTTCCCGCTGCCGCTATCATAAAAGCAAAAATCATTCAGAGCGGCACGGGTGATTTGACTCTTTTGTTTAAAGTGAGTGTTTGATACTCAATTCAGTTCGTGATTTCAGTTCCGTCTTTTATTGAGGTCGGTTGATGGGTGGTGAACGTGAATGTCTTCTTTCCGTTGAAATCACAGGGTTTTAAAAGGCGGAATGTGCAACGCCTTCTTGGGAGTCCCTCCAGCCATTCATTCCTTGCCCCTTTTGATGTTGATCGAGGGCGTGTGGTGTAGTGCAATCCCGTAGGTATGGTCGGCGAAGTGGTCCACCGATGTGTGTTTGAGGCTACGGGGTGATCAACAAACGTCTCCCACTTCGGCCCCCGGAGGGCGTTGCGGGCACGCCGGAGTCGTGGATGCACACCTCACACCTCCCTGTTGCTGTCACTGTTGTGTCAACGTGGAAAGCCTGCGCATCATCTTTGGGTGTAACGGTCGATTTCCATCTCCATTCCGCCATGTTTTTTCCATGATTTAGGGTTTCGGGAACTTAGTCTACTGTCTACCATCATCGTCACGGTCTGCAAGATTGAATCCAAACCTTGGAAGTGGAAGTTCAACGTTCAAGGGGTCGGAAGCGGAAGCTGGGATGGAAAAGCTAGTGGACCCCCTCCCGGGAAAGCGGGCAGAGTGGATCTTGCTTGTCTTCTTAGTGCCAAAGTCAAACGTGTTCACACAGCCACAGTTGGTCTGGTCGGGTCCAGTGTGGAAAGAGCTCCGCTGTGGGGTGTGCGGTTGTCAAAACCTTGTTCTGGGCAAGATGGATGGGATGAACACTGTGTGATGGTGACCCGCGCATCGTAGGGCTCTTTTCTTAAGGTAGGTTTTTACAGGGAAGTCTTTTGGGGCTCTTGTGGTTGTTTTCCAGTGGGCAGTGGAGTGAACATGGCCCGGCAAACGGGAACTGGCGGGCTGGGTCACAGAAGGTGGCCGCAGGAGGATTTCAGCGCTCTGGCCTTGATCCGTGCGAGGAACGCCCTGGAGTGGGATTTGGAAGTCCACGGTCTGGGGGTGCACGGTCGACATCTTTCATCTCTTCTTTTGGGTTTGACGTCTGAGCTTGAACTTCTTGTCTTTGATAACATGGAAACTTCCCACGATCTCGTCGCCCGACTGTCAAGTGGTTTGGACACCAAGGTCTTCAACCGGATTCTGCAAACAAAAGTCAACACTCGACAAACCCCTTCCCTCGACCGCGCCTTGCTCTCTTCCAAGCATGTCTGCATGTCATGACATCCACGTTGCGGTGCGAATGCCGTCATGAAGCCCCCCCGTGATTGGACTCGGAATAAAGGCTTCCTAGCTGCTTCTGCGGGAACATGCAAAGCCAGAGGGTAGGGGGTACAGGTAAGCATGTCGTTGTCCGCTAACCAACATTGATATATCAGCCCGGTACGACGTCAAGGCATGGGAAACGAACGAGTCGAACGAACGAGCAACCCGTGTTCTTGCGCGTAAAGGCTTGGCCACTTCATGCTTCCGCTTCCTCATCGGGTTCCTGCCGACAATCATCCTGCCGGATCCCGACCCTGCTGACGACAACACGGACCGATACGGCTGCGAGCCCGCCTGGATGAAAGACAGAACGACGGAGCAAACAGCGTATGACCCATTCAGACGACGCCTCGAGGTCCACGTCTCGACATCTCTTTCAACGAGCATGAAGCGAAGCCATGGTCGGTCGGTCGGGGTGTGGGTAGAACAAGGCGTCGTCCCTTTTGAAACCCGGTCCGAGGATACGCCAGTGTGAATGTGTGCACATGTGCGACGCGGACATAGGTGTGGCAGGCGAACAAAGGGCTTGCATTCCCCAGTTCATACCTACCGACCGAGCGCTTTCTTCGACAGCCCTTTACGACCCATATCCGGTGTATCCAATCAAGGCGCAAACAACCTCGTTGAAGAAGAGTGCTGCATGCCTGACAACAACACGACCCGACGAGGCTACAGATACCATCCAAACTGTTTGCCGGCTGCATGCGCGACGCCTTACAAATGACCCGGTTGTGCCGTCGATAGTACCGGTTGGCAAGTTCAGGCACACCACACTCCAAATCCTACCTCTGACTCGACCATCACCAGTCATTGTGTCACGTCACACGGCAACCATTTCAACAGCTGATGGGGACTCTGATACGCTGTAGTTCGACGATGCGGAACAGGTGCGCAACCAACATACCGCTGGGTAGCATTCTTAGCCTTCACTTCTTCCTCTTCTTTGCCAGTCTCCAAATATCGATAGCCCTCATGTCTCGCCTTCCCACTCAACACTACACCTCGATCATGCTATGCTATAACTGTCATCCAAGCACCAGGCAACCAGCCGTACGAGGAGTATGGCAACGGCAACGACAGATATTGAGCTGAGTGGTTGCTTCACGTCAAACCCCATGCTGCCTTCATTGTTCGCATCGCTATCAGGCGCATTTCACGAGCAAGACCTAAATGAGGCCCATTGTTTGGCATTCTTCTCCATCCAGCCTAATTCATGGTGGCTTGATACCACGTTTCCCCCTTGTTTGCTCCCCATTATTCATTGCGTGAGGTCGGCAATTTGACAAATATGGAATATTGAGATTGTTCTATAATATCTTCCATTGCGTTTTATTTGCTGTCTTCTCTCGGGACGGGGGCCTGTTGGTGGTGGTGTGGCTCTCGGTGGGCTTAGATTGTATGAACTAACAATAGCAAACCACCCCCAGAATGCTACCTCGTCACCAGTTACCGTGCCTTCTGGTGCCTACCGTCGAGGGTGCCATATGGGCGTACTGCATAACCTATATAAACATCACTAGGTCAACGTATCACTGTCAAGCGCCTTGCCTACGCCTCTATCACATTTTCTTGGGTAACAGGCAAGCAACGCTAAGTCAGGGACCGTTGTATATCTTCGTGCAAGCTGCATCGAGGAAGTGCGGTTGACAGGCGGCGAGGACGGTAGCAAATGCACACATGAAAAATTCCTGGCCACACTGGCCGTTCATGGTGATTCACAATGGGCCGCTTTTTAAATCTCACAATTCTATTCTTTGGCCCTAACGGTAACCACGCTTAAGCACACTCCCCCTCCTACAGGATCTCGGAATGGAGTTTGCGCCTTGCAAACTACTTTGTGCATTTTCACGACCACAACCCCAAGTTTGCCGTTGAGTATCCGGCCAGAGCTTAGTCCCACCTCTTCGACGGGCTATGTTGGCCAATCCATATACGCCTGGAACTCAGAACTTTGTGCCTCTCCTTCAAAAGTCTAAATGGGACATATGCGGCCAGTGCTCCATTCTTCATATCTCGACATTGTCACCGCCAGTTTCATTTCCTTTTTATTACGCACCACCGACAAGAATCACTCTTGGTTCTTTAGTAAGCATGCTAATCATGAATGTCTCGCACATAAATGCTACCCAGAGCTCACGGTTTCACGGTCATCACTGAGTGTTGACTCCCAAAAACTTGATTGGCAAATCAAAGTGAAGAAGCTTACTGTCTATAATCAGTAGGTACTAGCGTAAAATCTACGCCTCAGAACACCCGATAAAGAGTGACACTCGAGTACACCCACTTCCTTCGCCTGTTTGTCGCATATGGCATATAGCATGGTTTGACCGGGCTTGCTGCAACTAACTGCAAGATCGTTTTCTTAGCAGAATTTTGAGGGTTATATGCCAGTGAATTCGGACATGGTGCATTGCATCCAGTCTTCACGAGTCGCCTTTGACAGGGGAACGGGACAGTCAGGAAATGGGCGCAAGGAGTGTTGTAGGTAAGGTAGAAATAGCCGCGCCGGTGTTGAATAACATCCGAGTTACTGCATTCTCCAATGACTG